GCCACAGGTAAACAAGCAGGTGTGTTTAAGAATAAATAGGCGCTTTTAAACATTGAAATGGGTGTTATTCTGCGACAGTGGGGCCAAATTCGAAAAATGGGACGGCAAAATGTACAAATTGAACAGCTGTTCAAAATGATCTATCACTCGGACCCCCTGTCTCATTTGAAAATTTTGATATGGTAGCCCTAGGGCTTAGGGGGTTGAAGGGGCGAAGTCCAGTTTCACGTAAAAAACCTTCCCCCCAATAAATTTGTTGACGTGTTTCGGCGATTTCCAAAAATATGCCTCTTCACGCTGATAATGTAGGTGGCAAGCTTTGAAATGAAAGCCCTGTATATTGCCTACACCATTTCCAAATCCAAGCGGCAGTAAATGATATTTAATAACCTAAATTGTAAATAAGCACAAGCCTTCCTATTGGCTGGAACACCCTACCTGGACCAGTGCCCATGCACAGAGGACATTTGGTAGGTTGTAATGAAAATGACCAGTTTGTCATATACTGCTGCTTGGATTTGGTTCAACCATAGATATCTACAAGTATTGACTTATATTACCTACATAATTAACAAGTAGGTATTGCATAGTATTGACACTATTGTCAACTACTTAAGTAAATACCACTCTGTACATACATCAATTTTACTAAAGTGTGTCGACGAGTCATTTATTTGGTATAAATACCGCGCCGAAATCCATTAACAGCAGACTAAGGCTAGTGCAAAGTACCTCAAATGGGAAAAGCCCCTCTAGCTTAGTCTCCTCCCAGTGCAAACTGCCTTTAATGGGAAACGCCCTTCTGGGAGTATTGAACGCAGCAGACTAGGTCCAATGCAAACTACCTTCTGAACCTGTCGCAAACCCAGCTTCAGTCCTTCACTCACGCCAAGCGTACATAATACAGAGTGGCCTACACTATACATTATCTTATTATACCTATACCAAGCGAGTTTCAGTATTTACCTGGTAATTGACATATATTAACCAGTGATTTGTACTGTAGCAAAACGCCCCAAGTACTCTATGTAATTGGCTAGATGGTAAATCGCGAGCGGTATATTGATGGTGTTTATTTCCTTGGAGCTGCTACCTATAAAATTGTGGAGGATGTATTCGCAAAAGAGAGAAACAAACTATTGAGGTTTACTAAATTATATTTTATTATACATAAAACCAAAAATTTAAATAAGCAAAATATCTTTCAATTCTGACAGCTACTTAAAGAAAAACGCCCTATTCCACTATTCTCAATAACTTATACGTTTATACATTGCAACACTTCCGATTCATTCCTATTAAACTACCCTTCACCTATATCTATAAATTCTTAAAAATTCTCAAGTCCTTTATATTAATAAACAAATAATTGTTTGATTTTGCATAAGCAGTCAGTTATGCAAAATCAAATAATTATTTGTTTATTAATATAGGTATTAATACCTTCTTATCAAAACCTTACAATAATTTCTACATGAAAAATAAAAACCCTAATTTAAAATTTCGGCACTTAAGATCATCAATGTTTCTTCATGAACAACAAATTTCAAATAAATCTTTCCAATATATCTAATGATTTTCGTCAGCAATTTTATTTTATGAAAAACAACAATTCTTAAACTAACCTTTCTATTACATTGAATGATCACCGTCAACAATCTCATTTCATGCACAAGCCTCTTTCCGAAACATCCCATTTCATTAAATGGTTTATTTAATCAGTACCATTACTATTTTCGGATTCCTAGCCTAGCTAATAAACCCAAATGTTCAATGAATAAATCCTACTCAAAATCGATACTTGTTAAGTGCATTATAAATTCTTCTTCTAATTCTTTGCCAAATTAATTAAAATGTCATTTTACTCGAAGGCAATTAAATTTATGCAATAATGTTCCATAGTCAAAACACTCGAATTATTAATATTTATGCAATATAGTTCCAAAGTTAATTCACTTCATAGTCATTTATCATTTATAAAGTCAAAAGTTTTACTAGTCAAAATCACTCAAGTTTTTAGGCATTAAAAGTCATTGTCAATTCACTTCTTATCATTCAGAATCATTGTTAAAAGTCAGAAAAACATTAATAATCACTAAAGTACTTACATTTAAATTGTCACTCGATTAAATACTTAATTAATTACTCAAAAATGTCTAGATCTCGCACATATTATTATTGAATGCCTTTAAATGTTCTTTCACAATTTTCCGTACTTTTTCTAAGTTAAAATTAAACCCGAGGCAAAAATAAAAGAAACTCTTCGCGAATTGTTTTATCCGGACTGACACATTAGGTACTGTGGACTTTAACTCAAACTGGACTGGACTGCGAACTGACAACTGACTTCCACTTCTAAAACCGCCTGTTTTATATTTTTCGATTCCCTCCCAAAGTATTATTTAATTATCCACCAAAATCGTCAATAGGCGGTCGTTTGACCATCAATAAGACAATTCCATTGGCCGACCTAGATATTCTCAAAAAATAATGATGCAATCTATTTGAAATTTTTGTCATTTTTATTTGTTTAAAATCGAATAATTATGCCGAAATATCCTGATTTATAGGGGTCAACACATCTTTGGTTCAAGAATGTGAGGACAACACAAAGAAGACCGGCACACGTGAGCCATTAATCATCGATTTAATTACTCTGGCCTCGTTTTTAATAAGTTCATTGATTTTAGGAGATGACATCACGCTTGGTGACTAAATAATAGAATTTTTTAACCTATATAAAATATAAATATTTTAATTTAATTTGGGGTCAACGCTGATTTGAAATACCGGAAATTCAGTTTTTGATTATTTGATTACATTTAATTTTTACAGTAAAGACATTGTTAATATCGGGACTATTTTTCCGGATCATTACACTACATCGATTAACAAGGTGAAAAACCCCTCGGTGATAGGTCAGTGAAATAGCTTAGAGAATTATTTTACTGACCTATCACCAGCCAACAACTTCGCATCTTAATTAATTGTAAGGTCACAAAAAAGCCATCCAGAAGATTCAATTTATAATTGCTGCAAATTAGAAGTAATTCTGGAGCCTGTAAAATTCTCAAAGTTCAAACTTTCCAGATAAATCCAACTCTTTTTTTCCTAGTTCATTCCTCCCCCCTAGCAAAAATTGGATCAAAAATACAAAAAAATCTCTCAAAGCCAAATAGAAACCTACATATCATACAATTTTTTCCAGGTGGTCAAAAAAGAAACAATCCCTCCTGCTGTGGCTCCTGCTAATACTAACTTACACATTTTACGCCGAATACTTAATCTACAAATTGAAAACCGAATCTTGGCCTACGCTGACTTGTACCAACGAGAACGATTGCACCAGAATTCTTCTAGTGGCCGATCCACAACTAATCGGGGACAAAAACGAAATCTTCCATCCCATGACGCCTTTCAGTATTTTCGATAGCGATCGATATTTGAAGTTGACTTATTATTTTGCTTATTATTTTGTTAAGCCTCACGTTGTGATATTTCTTGGGGATTTAATGGACGAGTCTCATACTGCAACCGATGAGGAGTTTAACGGTTACGTTAGGAGGATTTTTAATATATTTTTAGCTCCTTATGATAACTTACATGTTAAAGTAAGTTTGTAGTCTTTCCTATGTGAAATTCCTATTATATATTTTTTTGTAGCATATTTGGTTACCAGGTGATAACGATATAGGAGGAGAAGACACGCCAGTAACTCCAAAAAAACTTCAAAGGTTCGAACGGGCATTTTCCCAATCCAGCATGCATAGTCGCAATAATGTAACGTTTTTTAAAATTAACCGCCTTACTTCTATCATTCCAGTTTACAAAAAAGAAAGAGAGTTTTACGATACCACTAAGATATTTGTTGGACTGAGTCATGTGCCTTTAATGTTTAGACCTTCGATTTTTACAGAAAAAGTAATGTTGTTTATTGTCCAAACATTTTTCTAATATTATATTTCAAGGTTCTTACCAAAATGCAGCCTCACGTACTCTTTACAGCTCACGAGCATAAATCAATGATAATCAGTACAGATGCCCTATTGCATAAAGACTACCATATTGTACCAATAACACCCAACAATGTTCAAATTTACAAGTACACTTTAGGACTACAAGACATGTACGAAATATTAATTCCAACTTGCAGTTATCGTATGGGAACCAATAAAATTGGTTACGGATTTGCCATTATAGGTTTGTAACCAATTAATTTTGGTTTTTAAATAATATATTTTTTCTTTGTAGAAAACAACGAATTGCAATTTACAAATCTTTGGTCGCCGGGACGTTTTGAACAATTGACCATGTACTTAGTTGTTATTGTTTTACCTTTAAGTGTAATTTGTTTTTTCAAGTTTTGTGCCTGTGTTAGGCGGAAATTGAAAAAAGGAAATTTTATAGGGATTAAAATAAGTAAGGTTTAATGATAATTGGAATTGTTTAATTTTTTATTCCCAATTAAATTATTTTGGCTTTAAAAACTAAAGATTTTTAAAAACCAAATGTGTTTTAAAGCTTCATGACTTAAAACTGAGATTTCTAAAGGCACAACACTAAAGTGAAGACTCGTTTGTTGAGATTTTCATAGCAAACATTGAATAAGTGACGACTTGAGATTAAATATTTGTGGATTCAAAAGACGCTAAAAGATTTGAAGCCATTGGAAATAGCTTCAAAGATGTCTTGGGGCTTGAGATTCAAATATTTTTGAGACAACACAGAAGAATTTTTAGAGATCTTGGAATTTAAATAAAGACTCAATTATCGACACTAACACAAAAATGTCTAAAGATTCTTAAGAAGCTGAAAAGATTAAATACTTCTTTGCCATTATTCTCTTGCAGACTTAATTTTAATCATATTGCCAGAAAATTATATATCGAAGAGATTAACAAAAGACCAGCCATTGTAACAATAAAAACACCATAGTGACAATTTAAACAAACTTTTGTCAAATGGTTTAATTTTTTATATTTGTTCACACACAAATTACGATGAAACGAGTTACAAGTTTCAGAAGAATCCAGTCGGAAGTTCCGTTTCGCATGGTGAGGGCGACCCAGTCCAAACCGTTCGGACCCGTCCGATTTTCCAGGCGATTGAGGAACTTGTCGCCGGAACCGTGGAATTTTCTGAGCGATACTCGGAAGATGCTCAGCAGGAAACAGAGCAAACGTATCATCGAATGGTAACTAATTGTATATTAAAATATATGGCCAAATAACATTTTGAATTTTTTTCCAGTTGCGTCCCAATCATGAAAATCAAAAACGAAGTCACACAGGCCGCAGAGAGAAAGTACAAAATACGCAGACAACACGTCTTGGATATAATTAACAAGGGCAGCCGAAGGGAGTTGGAAAAGTTATCTTCGGTGGGCAGCAAAACGGCCCAAAGAATCGTCTTATTTAGGTAATTATAGGTTGCATTTTTCCTCGAGGAACTATTTGAATCTTTTTTAGGAATCTCAAAGGCCCCATAATAAGAATTTCTCAGCTGGCCGACATGCCAAACTTTCCTAAGAGACTCTACGAGAACTTTTTAGCGCAAAACTTTTTGAAACAAACAAATTAATAAAGTGATTTTTTTTTTTTGGTATTTGCAGTGTTTTAGTTTTTTTTGTGGGGTAACGTTTATGTGAATTTAAGATAATTTTTTCACCCTAGTATAAGTTCATGTAAATACTATGTTTGTTCTAAAATCTAGAAGAATCAAAATTGATTTTTTTTTTCTAAGGGGTATGCGAAAGAATTTCATTTTCAAATATTTCAAATGAGAAAAGCTTTGGACACGATTAATTGTAGCTCTCGATTATTGGGGCTTCGAAAAAGGTTATTTTCTCGGTTATTTTGGGTACAGAGCCCTAGAGCTTTGTTTAACTCTCGTAACCTGTCTTCTATTTTCCAGATAATTCTGGCTCGTTTCATTTCCAGGAACACAGCCCCAATTGCATAATTTTGTCATCCAAGAGATATAATTATATTCTGGATAGCAGACTCACAACAATGTTTCTTTTTAAAGGCTAATTGATTATCAATCAAGATATTATTATCCATAAACCACCCTTTCCAATATTTTTTCTGCGGCAGGACAACATTTTTACTGGTCTTTGCCTGGAGCCCTTGACTTTCTGACTTGGAATCACTGTTGACCTCTTCATTGTGGATGGAACCTGACAGCTTTCTAACGATGAATTAATAAGATTTAAAAGAGGATCTTTAATTGACTGAAAAGTATTCTTCAAAAATTGAGAGGCAATCTCGTCTGGACTTCCCTTATCTGACAATGAAAAAATAATATCCTCTAATTCTTGCATGTCAATCAGCTTGAAAGTAGTTACCTGTTGCAGCTGATTCTGTTCGATTCCTTCCTCCGCAACTTCCACAGTTGAACCATCCACTCTATCCCATCCCATTCTACTCACTATGATATTCACGCTCTCTATACAGAACACATTAAGTTTTTCAGCCATATCCTTTGGTGATATGCTAATGTCATCTATTTTTACCCTATCAATAATTATTGATTTCTTATTTCTGTCAGTTATTAAGTAACTTAATGTCTCCCACATTTGTTTTGGATTATTCCTAGAATATTCAATCTTATTTTGGTAGTACCTAGGTACTTTTTTCTTCTCTAATAACCTTTAATACCTACCTTGTTTCTATATTTTTTATATTCTTCCCTATCTTTTTGGCTGTTTGTAGTTTTAAAATTGCTTTTCTTATATTTTCGTTAAACCACTCTCTATATATTTTATTTATTACTCTGTTTTCTCTTGGTTTTGAATATTCAATAATGTTTCCTGAAATATTTAACACTTTGAATTTATAATATTTATATCATTATTTCTATAATAGTCCCAGCAAACCAGTTGTAATCTTCTATTAATTTCATCAAAATTTATCTTTCCCCTTGTGTTAATAAATAAGTCGTCCTTCCATGTCCCTGTAGGCTGCAAATGTACCTGCACTGTATAATGATCACTTATCATTGGCGTCTCCAAAACCTCACTCTTAAAATGCTCTTTATGATTGGTTATCACCAAATCTATTAAACTCCCTCCAGTATCCGATGGATGGATGCGTTACTTTTTCAACAATTTGATAATACTCCTGCAGGGTCGCTTGGGTCACATATTAGGTATGTGTTTTTTTATAGAAAATCATTTGAAATACCTTTCTAACGCTCTCTAATATATACTATATGTTAGTTTTTTTGTTATTAGGGCTTTAGGGAAGTGTATAAAAAATATACACGTGGCGTAAAAGTGAAGAAATATATATAATACACGCCACGTGTATACGACGATATACACGGTCTAGACAGCGACATGCACGGTTTTGACAAGTTTATTCTTCTCTGTAGTCGTTTTAGAAATAACAAAATAACATCAATTAACTCGCAAAGTCTTCCTTCAAAGTTGGATGAGATTTATATAATTTTATCTTAAACGCAAAGCACACTGGCGGTGTTGCGTTGCGTATATTTTAGAAACAGTATAAAGATTAGGAGTGTTGATAGATTGCATAGGCAGAAGAATTACTGGTTTCTTGCACTTGAGTTGAATATATGGGGTAAGAATTACTTGCTGGCTGTATTATATCATTTATACCCAGTGCAAATGATGCAGAGTTCTTGAGTTTTTTTGAGCAATGGTGTTGTAGCAAAACGCCCCAAGTACTCTATGTAATTAGTTAGATGGTAAATGGCTAGCGGTATATTGATGGTGTTTATTTACTTGGAGCGGCTACCTAAAATATGTGGAAGGGTCTATTTGCAAGAGAGAGAAACAAACTATTGAGGTGTACTAAAATTATATTTTATTAAACATAAGACCCAAAATTTAAATCAGCAAAATATCTTCCAATTCTGACAGCCTCATCTATTTCTATAAATTCAATTTATTTCACATCCGTTCAAAATGTTATTATTACGGACCACTGAAATATCCCTACTAAATAAAGAAACGCCCTATTCCTACTATTCCTAATAACTTAAAAGTTAACTCATTTCAACACTTCCGATTCATTCCTAATAAACTACCCTTCACCTAATTATAAATTCTTTAAAATTTCTAAGTCCTTTACTGACTACTTATGAAAAACCCAAAATTATTACCTATTTGTTTATTAATAGTTTATTTAATCAGAACAAATTCTATTATAAGTTTCCGCTTTAACAACTTTCCAATATTTTAAGACAATTCTATTTCATGAACATCAAGTTTATTTTTCAAAATTTTCTGTTCCATTTAATATATTATTTAATCAGAACAATTCTATTCTCGGATTCCTAGCCCAGCTAATAAATCCAACTGTTTAATTCATAATTCCAACTCAAAATTGTATATTGTTAAATGCATTTATAAGTTCCCTTCATATTTTCCTTGCACAATTAAATTAGAATGTCATTATATCTGAAGACAATTAAAGTTATGCAATAATGGTCCATTTATAAAGCACTCGAGCTATTAATATTTATGCAATAAAATTCCACAGTTAATTATAAAGACAAAAAGTTTTCCTAGTAAAAATCACTCAAGTTTTTAGGCATTGAAAGTCATTGTTAATTCACTTCTTATCATTCAGAATCATTGATAAAAGTCATAAAGGTTTACTAGTCAAAATCACTCAAGTTTTTAGACATTAAAATTCAAAGTTTAATCACACAAAGTCATGTTCATCATTTATATTCAAAATAAATCTTGTCACTATAGAGTACTTACATTTTGTCCATAAAACACATAACTAATCTAAATTAATTCTTTTGATTACTTAATTTAATTTACGCACATGATTGTTGAACGAATTTCAAATCTTATTTCTTTCACGATTTTTCGTACTTTTTCAAAGACTGTTACCGAGGCAATACAAGAAACTTTCCGGACTGACACTTTAGGTACTGTAGATTTTAACTCAAACTGGACAGGACTGCGAAATCATCTCTCAACTGACACGAACAACTGAAACAGCGGTATTTATATTAAATCGATCCCCCCGCAAAGTATTATTAATTATCCCCCAAATCGTCAATAGGCGGTCGTTTGACTCTCAATCAGACAATTCCATTGGCCGACCTAAATATTATTAAAAATAATGATGCAATTTCCTTGAAATTTTTATCATTTTAAGTTAAAAAAATCGAATATTTATGTCGCAATATCCTGATTTATTGAGGTCAAAACATTATTGGTTCAAGAATGCCATAAATCATTTATAATTACTTGGCCTCGCTCTTTTAAGTTCATTGATTTAGGAGATGACACAAGCTTGATGACGAAACACCTAATATAATATTAAACGTTAATTTGTTCCTTTTTCAATTTAATTTATTGATACTGATTTGGAGATACCGGAAATTCTGTTTTTGATTATTTGACATTTATTAAATTTTACACAGACATTGTGATTTATGGGTCTATTTTCTCGGAATATTACAGTGTGAAGGGATAATGGATACCGATGGGGTGGTAGGTAGGTACTGATTATGGGGGATTTCAATTTTAACACTTTGACTGTATATTAAGGTATACACATAGTGGCCTGTACCAGATCGCCACGTTTATATTCTAGTATACACATGCAATCATCAATTCTGTGCCGTGTGTGTAGTACCTAGAGTAGCACGCTTTACATGCATTTCTCATGGAATATTTTTCAGCGTGGCGTGGGTGGGGCAATCACAAAATAATCTTAGCGCCGACCTTTGGATGAAAATTTCGTATAAACCCATAGCATCACTAATATACAGCACAATACACTTGCATAACTTGCACAATAGCAATGCACCACATTCAAATTGACAATGACCACTATTCATAAGCTCAGCAGATGGCTGGCAATCAAAATATCAAAAATTATTTCGATAAAATAATGAACTAGCTGTTTGATGTAATAAAATTTTTGGAAGAATATGAAAGGTTTCCATGTATTATGGAACAAACGCTCGCCCGATTTCAAAAACAGAGTAAAGAGGGATCATGCTGAAGAAATTCTGTTGCCCTTACAGGACTTTCTACAATTGAAGAACTAAGGCAGAAAATTAGGAGCATTAGATGTTCATATTGTCGTATCTAGGATAATAGGGCATCTCCCTTTGGGAAATTAAACTCGATCGTTTCCCAAAAAAAGTTCATGGGTTTCAGGAAAACCATCGATCATGTTACATTTAAATAACATTCCATTGCAAGTTGAACGAATTATTGAATTAATAATTTGTACGGACATAGAACTGAAACCCATGGAAGGTCAATGTCAACGACAGGTCAGGAGTTATTGTAATTAGCAATCATGTACCCGTACCATGGTCGCTCGACTAACATAAAATAAGGGGTTTTTGGAAGATGAGGGATAGTCCACAGACCGAGAATGATCCGCGTTAGTTAGTCAGTAATAATAGTGCCTTTTAGTCCTGTGATAATTATTATAGTGCCCATGCCCATATCTCAAACGTAATTGTGGTAAGCTTTATTGTAAATACACTTTCCTATTTTTGTATTTGGCTCTAGTTTGATTCTCACCCCCTCATAACCCCCAGGTCCGACAATATAATCAAGAAGTGGCTGGAATAAAGATGTCTATGGAAACTGGAACAGGCGCTGGTAATGTATTTATTATATAAACCAAAACTTATATGGTTTTTTTTATATGGTTTTCTCACCCATATCTTCTTTTTTTTGCGTTTAATTGTTCCATCAATTACAGCAGCTACCGCGGCAGTTAACTGCGTATAGAGCATTTTGCTATTGATTGATTACTGTCACGAATTTTTTGGTACGTGTAGACACCTTACTTTCATGATAGGACTACCGAGGCGACTATCATGAGAGCTCTTTTGATCATGAGAGTACTTTCACCGTGAAAACGAGCCTTACGACATGGCCTTTGCGTAAAAAACCGTTGTTACGATTATTAACAAATACCCTTGACAATTATATATATTTTCCTTCTGTCTTTAAATTCAATGACCCATTGTACACCATCCTGGATGAATCAATAATAGAATTTACATATTTATCCAGAATGTCCCTAAAATGACTACCTATACTATCTTCTAATACTAAAACCCTATTTTTTTCCTTTGTATTCCTATTGTATTTTCTCTAAACACTCCGTATTATAGATCCTGATTTCACCATTTCATTTTTCAACTACCTTAACTCCAGTTCATAGGATTCCCTCTCTGCTTCCAGTGTCTCAATAGTAGTTAACATCTGCTCTTTCGTCTCCTTTCCTTTAAATTTCTAAAATCCTCCTGCAGCTTAATGCTTTCCTGTTTTTCTTGATTTATCAAATTCCTCCAATTCCCCATTAATTTGTTGCAGCTTAGCAACGTCCTCAGAAGTTGCTTCAGAACTTCCCAAAGATCGATCGATAACTGACCCAACATAAATCCCACAAGCAAAAATAAGTGTTCTTTTAGGAAGTAAACTGTTTATTCTTTGAGTATTAACTTCACATTTTCCACAAAAATCCCAACGGTAGACAATTAACTACCTAATCACTGTAAAGACAAAAAACCTCTTTAGAATGATGCTCGACACCACCTATATTTTTCACATGAACAAGCTTAAAAACGGAATATTCAGGAGCGATTTAAAACACATCCTTCAACTGATTAGAAAAAATATAGCTCAAAAACTATTTGAGATAAATGACTCAATCTTGTTTTATCTTAAAGACAATTTAATTTTGTTTAAGCATATATAAATATGCATTAGAATTTGTGAAATATCAATTGTGTAATAAGCGATTTTGTAAGGCAATGTCGGATGATCAAAATTTTTAAGCACCAAAAATACAAAATTTTGTTACATAATATGGTTTAGATTAATGTAATATAAATTTTACTGCAATAGTTATGAGATAAGTAAAAAAAGAAAAATCCTTTAAAGAACATTATCATTTTTATTAAGAGCTAAGAATTAATATAATGTTAAAAAATACATCAATACACATTAAAAATGTTTAACAAACAAGGCGTCAATTTTTTTTTTTGCACCCGAGTAAAAGAAACATAATTAATTACTGTTTCAAAGAAAAATCAAACAGTACATACAAAAGAAAATAAATAAAACAGAACTTCAAAACTAAATTGGGACGATTAATAATAATAATAATAATAATAATAATAATAGTCTTAATATTAAAGCAATTTTTGCTCCAAAAAAACCTGCATTAAAAGCAACAATTGATTCACTAAATTGGATATTAAAAGTAAAAACCAAAATTGAATAATAAATGAAAATCCAAACAAAATCTATTGGCGAGGCGGCATATTGTACCCTTGTTGCTGGGGATGCGAAAAAGGCTTAGAATAAGGGTTGCTTTGAGGCCCGCCGGCTGTCGGATACACAACGCTGCCCGGAGGGTGGCCGTACTGTTGCTGAGCGGCATACGGTATGCTACCTTGGGGTGGGTTTGTATACGCGTTTGAATTTGGTACTGGGGAATTGTCCATCACTTGGGGAACGTATCGGCTGAAAAAAAAAACCACGAAATTATTCATTTGGCAACAAAAAATTTACTTAAAGCCAAATGACTACTCAAAATCCGCATGCCATGCCCATTGACTTCACTATAAATGAAGTAAAAACATGAATACATACAACATACCCGGTTGACGGAAAATTGTACTGCTGCGGGTAACCAGACAGTCCAGCGTACTGCAATCCCAATGAATTCCTGGCAAAATAATCGCTCATGTTGTGGGCATTTACTGCCGAAGCTGAAGTGGCAACAGGTTGTTGTTGTTGTTGTTGCTGCTGCTGCTGTTGCTGACTTGGCAACATTGAAGCTGATTGAGGCCTAGAGTTTGAGCCTTCATTCTGAATCTATTTTTTTAAATAATCATTAGTAATAATCAATATTGAATTAATTCAAACAAAATTACCTGTTGCGGTGTAGAAGGCTTTGAAGGCTGCTTTTGTTCCTCAGTCCCATTTTTATGATGCTTATCTTGTAAAGGATCAAACTCACTAGAATTAACCTTATTTAGAGTATTGCTTGATTGGTTTGTATCCAAATTGGATTCAGTCGAATCTAAAAAATTTTGATTTTGTTAACCGATTATAATATTACCATTTTGAAAGTGGTTACCTTGTTGAGTAGGAGCGTGTTTGACAGTCTTGATATCGTCGAAAAAGTCTAATAGTTTATTAACTTGATCGCGGATCGTTCTAATTTGGTTTTTCAAATTGGCTACTTCGCTGTGCGATATAGTCTCAGATTCGGGCTGGTCAGCGTTTAATAGCACCTGTAGCTTAAGTATTCTACTGCATTGGATGGCGAATGATAAATCCGTGCTATCGAAAATTGTTACTAGATCGCCATCTGGAACAAATGAGTTTTTTTTATTGAAATCATTAGTTTGGATTTTTAGTAATGATTGGGTTGCTGTTTTTTAGCGTGTCTGAATGAGAATTTTCCAGCAACCACATGATAGTGGCAACTTTTCCTTTTCACTTGATGATCTATTAGATTTAGAAAGTACTCACAGGATATTTTATACAGTACCGTGGAAAAACAACTAAACAAAAATACCTCACTTCCCATCTTTGCAGTGGGCACAAATAATTTATTTGATATTGAAGATATTTTCACAGAAACCACAAACCAGTCAGAGCGTTTTTGATTGGTGCAAATCGCTAACAACCAGTTTTCTGACTACTTTCAACCAATGAAATTCGCTCCGACTTGTTTTGTGGTTTCTCTGAGAACAGACTTATAGTTAGCGTTTAGTGTACAGGGTGCTGCAATTTGGAGTATTTTGACAGGAAAACATACTTCCAGACCAGATAGAGGAAAATTGACTTAGATGTTATGGGATTGATTTTCGAGAAACGTCGATTGTCAAAAACCGTATCGCGATATCTTCAATGGTATCATTAATACAGGGCGATTTTCCATTTTCCCCTATCATGAAAATTCGTATCAAGATCAAGAAACTTCTCGTGATAATTTCAATTCAGGTGAAGTCCCAAAAAATGCAAGGTAATATTAAAATATAAATCGATAAAACACAATTAGAGTTGACAGTGAAATAAGAAAAAAAAGACAGAAAGATAAAACCATCAATTTCATCATGGTAGCATGCATAAAAAAAAACATCAGTCAACAATAGAAAGCACAGTTTAATAGTTATTTTTAGGCGACTGTCATAAAAAGATTAGTTTTACGGATTCAATATCATCCCTAAAGTATATCTTTTTTGGCCGCATTTACTTTACGGCCGCATTTACTTCACGGCCGCATTTGCTCTATTACTTTACGGCCGCTTTTACTTTACGGCCGCCACTTTGGTGAAAATAAACAGACAATCAAAAACGCGGTGCCGTAACCATTAGCACAACCAATAAACAATTAGCAACCACAATGAAACCAAATTTTTAATTTTAGAATTTGCTATTGTTGAATTTTCGTCTTTTTCCAAGAACAAACACTCGCCTAAAAAATTTTATGTGCACCTCGGCCGAATAATCTTTTTTGGCCTCACCTGAAATTTGCTTGGCCTCGGCTACGGTCAACTTTACGGCCTTGGTACACAAATAACTATTATGGTACTAGTGTGTTATGTTGAAAATAAGTCACGCGAGAAAGATTTATACCACGAGGCCGTCAGGCCGAGTGGGATAAATTCTCAAGTGACTTAGGAAACATAACACACGAGTGGCATACAATGTTTTATCCAACAAGTGGAAGAAATCGTTTTTTTATGAGATAATACAAAAAAAAAATACAAGGTTCGAATGCGTCGGTGTCTTCCAGCACTATCAGCAGCTGTACCAATATAGGAGCGTCTGGTTCCAATGAACCAACGAATTTTACAATGACTTCAAATTCGAATAAACCGTTAGCGTTTGCCTTTTATTTCAATATCAATGTGAATTCTGCTTTTAATACATAGTGATAAATAAATAGAATACTACTTTAAATATGAACGTGAGTTATAATCCATAACTCACTAGTGAGTTATGGATTATAACACACTAGTGTGTTATTTGATAGTTTACTTGTCTAAAATGACATTAATAATAACAGTCATAACTGTCATGTGTTGGATAAAACAATTTTGCTTACCTAACCAATACACTGAAACTATCAACTATCAACAATACAAAAAAGAAATGAATGAAAATGATATTCAAATCTAGTTAAGGTAAATTCATCCATCAACAGCCCCTACCAGCAGAATTTTTCTAAGCATATTGCAACTTATGTTGAAAAAATCAATATCAATTTCATTTATTATCCTATTGGCCACATTACACATTCTACATATAGGACTATTCAAACCATAGTTAGTCCTGTGAAAATCTATACCAAAAATCTCATTTTGTCTAGTTACTCTCTGAGGAATTCTAAACGGAACTTATCAATAGTATTAAGAAATTAAAACCAAAGAAATCTTTAGGTAATGACCAGATTCTAACCTATATCTACAAGGCCCTAGCTGAATCATATTGAATGTTTTGCGTAAAATATTTGACATGATCTCAATAAAGGCCGAAACCCACTAACAACACGCCACGTCATGCTTCGCCACGCCATGTCATGTGACGAAAATGTGTGCGTATATTCTTCCATTTATTTATATGTGCCGCGTACATACTTGCCACACGCGATACGACGCCATGTCACGCCACGCCATCCGTCCATTTGCACACAAACTGTCCCACGTGAACCTGTGTCACATGGCGTGGCGTGTTGCTAGTGGGTTTCGGCCTTAATGCTCTGCAACAAAAAATTTCTTGTATTCAGCATGGGTTTGTTGCAGACAGGTCGACTGTATCAAACCTTTGCTTATTTTCTGAATATGCCTCAAAAGCAATTGAAGAGAAGCACCAGCTTGATATAATATATACGGACTGCGAAAAAGCTGTCAATAAGGTTTCCCACAATATATGTACTGCTTGATAAAATGGCTGACTATAGCCTGTCAAAAATCACTCCAATTTTTGAAATCATATTTATCAGATCGCTACCAAATTGTAAAACATGGAAAAATATTTTCTGAGAAGTACAGGGCTACATCCGAAGTACCTCAAAGTAGTATTCTTGGGCCGTTGCTTTTTACTTTTTTTATTAATACCTTGCCCAATTCCTTGAAGCAATCAGTGGGACTACTATTTGCAGATGACTGCAAGTTATTCAGAGTGGTCTCTGATATTGAAGATTGTAATCGGTTACAGGGTGATATGGATTATGTGAGTGAATGATTTAATAAGGACAAGATGAAATTGAATATTGAAAATTGTTCTGTAATGTCTATTGCCAGAAAATCCACCTATGTTGAGTCTAATTATAGTGTAAATGGTAGGGTTTTGGATCGAATAAGTGAAAGACTTGGGTGTCTTTTTTCAGTCTAATTTTAAATTTAACATTAATCATTGAATATAAACAGCAAATAAGGCATACAAGTGCCTTGGCTTCATCTTAAGAAATGGTAAAGATTGAGTATGGAAACACTAATTCAACTATAAAATACTCTAGCGAGACTACACTTGGAGTATGCTGCGCAAATCTAGATGCCACTGGCTCATTGGAAAAGTAAGGATTCTTAACATAGATATTTTTACAACTAGTCAGTATAAACTATCTCCTCTAAAAAAAAATGATGGAACAGTGCAATATCGTGAAAAGGGAAAACCCCTTTATGGTGTTTGTGAAGATGTACCTATCAATAAATAAATAAAATAAATAAAAATAGCAAATTTGAAAAAAAAATCACATGACTGAAAAGACGCTTTTATTGGCTAAAGCCGATATTCATACACATTGTTGCTGCAATAGAAATGCGAAATTTCCATTCAAGCGACTGTTAGCATGGATGTGGATGCCACATTTTTTCAGTGTTGCCAATGTGGTAAAGTCAGATTACCCGAGCTTCCACTTGAAATTACCCACGTTTGCAGTGGTTTTGCCAGGTTTTCGTGGCGGGAAAAGCGGCATATTCCAAAACAGCGCCAGGCAAAAAAAAAAGTATTCTAGGGGTTCAGGTATCTCTATTTTTGTTTAAGGGTATAGGAGAAAAAAGGATGAAGATACACTCGTGCTTCGTGCCATGTTAATAGGATGCTCATTTGTACTTGCTCTACCTGCTCGAAAAATCGCGTTCCCGAAAACGCTTACCGCTTTTTATTCGCTCGGCACTTTCAATGTAAATTTCTCGGTAAATTTACATTAGAAGTGCCGAGCAACTAAAAAGCGGTGAGCGTTTTCGAGAACGAGAATATTGGCTTGAGCCGCATTTTTTTGCAATATATTTGAATCGTGATCCTAATCCGTTTGTTCAATTGGAACATGTTTCAATTTTAAGGTCCGAAAGAACGCTGTTCAGATTTTCGTGATCGGAAACTAATCACAAAAAAAAAAGGTTCAATTTGTTCAGAATTTCTCGGATCATGATTTGCTAACTGTCAGATAACAAATTGCGAAAGAACGTGATTACCGGCACATAACGCGTTTTGATCAATTGTCCAGTCCGAGAAAATGCGGCTCTGCTAGGAGCAGCTATTTATGAGCTTATACAGGGTGTATATTTCAAGTGATACCATTATTGCTATATCCGAAAGGGTAAAAGCTACAAGGTTGGTCAAATTAGAAAAAAGTTGTCTTTTTTTATGCCCATTTACAGGAATACAGGTTCATAACTAGGTCCGAATTAAGGTAAAATTTTGGTAAAAATCACTGATGATCACTTTTTAGATCAGAAACGTCGACCAATAATACTTAAGAGGTATATTGTTGAAAAGAGAATAGAGGGTGCTTTCTTAAAATGTCATAAAAAATCCAGGTCCGTATTTAAAAAAATGAAGTTGATGATGGTAGCTTAACCACGAAACATCGGATTCGAAATTTGAAAATGCCCTGTTATAAAACTTTCAAATTTAAATTGTGTCCCGAAAATAAATAGTTTTTGAAATATTTGATAGAATGTTTTTGGGCGTTTCTTAGAAATCACCTTGTATTCATAAACTAAAAGGAATTTGGCAACACTGTAAACGAGTCTTGAATGGGCATCAAAAAAGGAAACTTTTTTCTAATTTAACCGACCTTGTAGCTTTCACCGTTTCGTATATAGCAATAGTGGTATCACTTAAAATATACACCCTGTATATGGAGCAAGTGAACGCTGATCTGCTTGAAGCAAGAAAAGCAGTACCTACAAAAATGAACACCCTTATAAAGTTGCAAAGCCGAAGCAAGGCAAAGGATATTTTTTTCAGTACCTATACCGAGCAGGTCGCAGAAAACTAGAAAACAATGTATATTTTAATTATTATTTTTAGGATCTTTTTTAGTTTTTTTAACCATTTTTTACCATACTGGGGCTGGGAGTCTCGATTACCCGAAATTACCCGATTTATAAAATGTTAGAAAATTACCCTGCTTTCAGTCAAATTACCCACAAATCGGGTAATTAGCATATTGGCAATACTGCATTTTTTCCTATTACTGTAGTGATTATGCTATGATTAAACTTTGAGCCCTACTGGTGCCACCTTTAAGGTGAATTCAGGTGGCAACAGGTCAGAGGTATCTTAGGTGAGTGACACTGATAGCCTGCAGGTGGGCAGATTATTAGTGTTGAAAGACAGAATCGGTTCTGTCACTTCGGTCATCACTTTAGCAGAGTGTGCCATAAAATTAGTCATTTTATGAAAATTAAATAAGTATTGCTCTCAGTCAGTGTTTCATTAGATTACGAACCGGCCATTGAGTTTTACAGCTACCTGTAACCTGACTACATTACTTAGTACGAAATCAATGAACTATAACCAAAAACTGGAATGCTAACACATAAGGACGAACGTGAAGCCTAGTGCGGCTGCTGCGGAGGGGATACCTGTTTTTGTCGCACTCATTATGTTAAATGGCGAAAATTGCTTCCAACACGTATTCCAGTCGATGAAACCTGTGAAGGGAAATATGACAAAACTTTCGAAAACGTCACATGTCACATGTCAGCGAGCAACAGAAAAAAACAACATTCTCCTTTTGGCATTTTATGTAATAATGTAACATACAAATTTTAAGAAAGATTTGGCAACACGGAGAGAAACATATAGGTTCATTGTAGGTACTAAGTAAGAGTTCAACAATAGGGAACTTTACAATTTTTTTTTTTTTTTTTTAAATCATTAATTTATGCTTTGAAAGAGTATTCCCCAAATATTATTCCCTAAAACTCAATAATAACTTGGTGAAAAATGTTTAAAGTTTCGCGCGAATTAAAAGCATTTCAAACGACCTTAAATCTGGATGATGTATGTATGATTTTGCGTTAAGCCGGCGCCACACGATGTGTCCAACCATTGGCCCCAACGTTAGATCCAACGTTGGGTACAGTATTTTTTGCTCTAGCATTTGGCAAATGCACATACCTACTTACTTTTGTTATAATATCGTTTTATTTATATAATGCTAGGCTAATCATTGAATTTAAGCGAAGTAAACCAATTCTAATATTGATAAAATTTTAAAAAATCAGAGAAAAACGTAAATAAACACAGCTAACGGGTATTTATTATGTAGAGTTCGAGTAAACGCTCGGAGTTGCTGTTTTGTTCTTTTATCCCTTTTCTTCTCATCATAAGAAAAAAAGACGGAAAATGCTCCGAGTGCTCAGTGTTTCAAGACGAACTCACGGTATGATGGACGGTTGCTGACAGACACTGACAAATCATACTACATGATGTCACGACCAGTACCAGAGCGTTTTTTCCCGCTGGAAATAATTTGAATTTTTCTGCATTTTCAATTCCTTATTGTGGCCGTTTGCGACAAAAAAAAAATGTTTTTTCCGCTGATATAGGTTTTAATTAATGTATTCTTATGATTTATAGTAATATTTTCATGTTTAAATTTTTTGTCAAGTTCCCTATTATACCTTTATATTTTTGTAGCATAGTGAAGGATGCAAATATGTAGGTTCTAGGTAGTGAGCTGTGAAATAACGAGCTTTATTTTTAGTCCATTGAACAGATTTCTTTGTCTTTGTCTTTGTCTAATTGCTAATAAAAGACAAGGATACAACATTGATTCACAAGGAAATAAAATTGATTATAAGATGTTCTACTGAGGCTCGGCTTTGTACTACATACAATTCGGCACAGTCTTGTTTTACATATGAGAAATTTGGCATCCTCGCATTTTTGGGACTCTGACGTCACAGTCCTTTCTCCAATGACGTTGCTTGTCAGCAGCAATTTTCAAAAATAAACATTTCAAATAATTAGTAAGTAATTCAAATATTATGTTAATAGTGGCCTATTAAAGGCAAGTAACTGTACTCAATACATAATGAATCAATTCGAAACATTCTCAAACCCAATTGCAATGTGTTATTTTATTTCGAAACCGTCTAATGACTTGAGCAGGTTTCCGATAAAATTCCAACCCGAGAAATATGTTAATGAGAGAAACATGGACATTTTACCTTCGTCTTTGTACTTGAGGGTGATGTCGTCGTTGGCGGTCAGTTTGCCCCTAAAAACCCGTTGCATCATTAAAACTAATTCGTCGTAGGTTATCGCTTCGTTGTGGATCGGTATCCGGCGAATATCGTCGCCGAATTGAACTTTAATTATCAATTTGCCACTCAACTCCAAATCGGTTTTCATGTCCATCTTGCCCTTCAAGAAAAAACTCACCTAATTATAATATTATTTGAGTAAATTTGCTGGTACTTACCGCACCAAGATGGTGCCGTTTTCTCATTAATAAATGAACGAAAATTGGGCTTGAAGTCTAATTAAAACTACAACAAAAAACAACTTTTGCTTGCTTGAGAATTTTTGCCAATGTGCCTGTCAAAAATCAAAATGGAACCGGGTGACAATAATGTCACTCACATGTCAAACCAAATGCAATGTTGCCAATAAAATAATTTTTTGTCCTTTTTTATCTTGCAACATTAAAGTGAGATATAAAATTGCTCAGGTCACGCGCTTTTTAATAACAAACAAGCTAAGATACTAAATTAATATTGCTATCTTTTCTTGGTACACATAAAATTTTTTGAACGTACTTCTAATATTGATTATTACTATTTGTCATTGATAAATTCTAAACAAAAATATTATTCATTACATTTTACTAGGAAAAAGTTTAGTGTTAATTTAACAAAGAAATTATATATAAGAGGGCAAAAATCTCCAAAAAAAAATGCTTTTTAAAAATCTCCACCAAAAATGTCTCCAAGGGGTAGAATATTTGGGGTACGATGAGGCCTGTGTGGATATTTTGAACACCCTGAACGAGCCCGTGACTATTTTCGGGCAATACGACGAGTGTCACAAGTGCAACTTTGAAAATCTCACGATTTTGGGGCCCCAGAAGAATATTTCGTTGCCAGTCAGCACCAGATCGCCTTTCGAATTGTACTGGAGCCAACAAGGGGGCACAGAAAATTGCAGGTGAGAATTTGAGACCCAGAATTTTCCTCTAAAGTAGCAAGTTGAGGTTTTGGATAATTAAAAATTTCCCCTTACCAAAATTTGTACGCCCATTATCCTTTTTAGGTAATAATTTCTTAACTAGGTATTACAATGTATTATAATGCGTATAACCCGAGGTATAACCATCCATCCACATACCATGTAATTACTTTGCATTACAACATATTAAGTACTAATGTATTACCAATATTTATCGATATCACCTTCATAATAAAAGTTTTCTGAAAATGAGTTATGATAAGAATATATTGAGAAATATAGGTATACTTGAATCTTCGCTTAAATCCGTGTTTAAGCCCAATGTGAAAAACAAAATAGTTTTATTAATATAAGTAGGTAATAAAATAAATATGATTATTAGGGATTATTCTCGGGATTATCCTATACCTGGGATTATTTCTAAAAAATCTTCTCAAATCTTTATAATTTTTCTCAATTTCATTCAAAACAGCCATCATACCTCGCATCATACCTTCTTATCTTGAAAAGTGTATTTCCTTGTAAGGTGATAGGCCCATAAAAATTACATTCTATCTACTATCCAAGCTACTACCATGTGTAAAGTACTTACTTACTTACTTTACGCATTGTTATTGTCTCAGTTTCTTTGCATAAATACCCACCAGTATAAGATTTGTTATCATAGAAGCCTTTGCTGCCCTTTTTACATTAAAAATATCTTTCTTTTCTTTCTCTTCCTTCTTCCTTCATTGTCAATTTTTTACTATTCCAGGCTCTTGAATTTCTGTTTTCTTCTAGATTTATTTTTATAAAAGAATAAGGAACATTCAAAAGTCTGGAATAGAAAAGATTAATGTTCAATTTTCCTTAAATTTCTCTGTTTCCATTTCTCTTTTATTTAGTATCAATTTTTGACTATTCCAGGTTCTTGAATTTTTGATTACTTCAAAATTTCTTGTTATAAAGCAATAAGGAATAAAGAACAAAAATAAAAAAAATGAACTAGAAAGCTCCTTTTTATGTTCTATGGAGCGAAATTTAATTGGAAAAGTGTGGAAGCTTCATTTTCAGCTTTTGAATTTGAAAGTTTTGACCATTTCAGGGTAAAAGCTAAAGTTAATTCGAGAGTTATTATTTATTTATTTATTTCCGAGTTTATTTCCATCAATTTCCCCGTACAAAAATAATGACTTAATAATAAGTAAGCACAATTAAATAAGTATTATCCTCAGTATTATCAAATAAAATAAATAAGTAAGTACCCTTTACGTAAAATTTATAGGCTTTCTAAGCTATGCTCCACAAATTAACAGAAAGAAGTGTTCTGCTGAAGTCCTAGTCTAGGACTTGTGCGCAGAGTTATCCTTTCTTCCCCTCATTCAGTGATACCGAACCTAAACTCTAAATTTAGATACAGTTGTTCTTTTATCTATTACACAGATGCATACATAAAACTTGTACAGGGTGATCCAGTAGGTATAAAGTGAACACCCTCTACCTTTTCGCTAAAAAAAATTTTTTTGAAAAAATCAAGATAGCCATTTCATGTATTTTGCTCGGTATTTTGTTTCTAGGAATTTGAAAACGTTTTTTTGAAATTTAATTACATTTTTCGTTAAAGCGCTGTGACGCCAAAAGTAATTTTTTTAAATGGAAAAACCTATATTCAAATCAATTTTTTGAACGCCCCGCCCCCATTTTCCTCATTTCAAATATTTAGTTTGTTTATCTTTATTTTAGTAATTTGCGATATATTCTCATTTCAAAATTCACATAAAAATAGCCGAAAAGGTATCATAAAATATAATAACCAGTAGTTTTATTAAAGGTAAAATTATTTAGGTTTACCTTGATACCTTTTCAGCTGTTTCTATTTGAATCTTAAGATTCTTAAGTGAGAATATATTCCAAATTACTAAAATAAAGATAAACAAACTATATATATTTGAAATGAGAAAAATAAGGGCGTTTAAGAAATGGATTTAAATATAGGTTATTCCATTTAAAAAAATTACTTTTGTCGTCACAGCGCTTTAACGAAAAATCCAATTAAATTTCATAAAACGTTTTCAAATTCCTAGAAACAAAATACTCAAGTAAATATGTAGCTATCTTGATTTTAAAAAAAAAAAAATTTTAGCGAAAAGGTAGGGGGTGTTCACTTTATACTGGATTACCCTGTACTTGTACCCACCAAAATTCAAATAAAAAACAATATAAACAATAATACTCAGAGCCGTCTTATATAATTAGAAACCAGAAGGAAAATAAATAAGAACATTTCTGCTGAAGTCCCGACGGACTTGTGTGCAGACTTTTCTTGTTATTCCATTCAGTTATGCATTTAAATGTTGAAACAAAATAATAAGTAGTCATAGGATATACTAGAAAACACAAAACAATGTAAATTTGAACCTTAGCATACCCATTTCCATAAATTTACAACAATAATTATAAGTATATAAATAATAAAAAAACAAAAAAAAATACTCCAGTACTCGCTCCAGTATGTTGTATAAATCCATTGTCACTTTGTATTTCAAAAAACAAGATTCATAAAGAGAATCTGCTTATTTTAAAAGAAGAATTTTTTGAACCTAAAGATTGTATATGCAAGTAATGTTATTTGAGTTTTCTATTTATTAGTTCATTAAAAAACGTAAAGTCCGTCGATTTTATTCTGATACTCGAAAGGAATGTGAGCTGGTGGCACTCTACATTAAAACGCCAATGGTCACCTGGCGTCACACCTGTATTTCCCATATACTTCACCCCCTCACTCCTCATACGGAAAGTGTCAGAAAAAATCGACGAACAATACGGGGAGTTTCAAGAATCCATTTCTTCAAAATACTTTTAAACAATTTCAATTTAGTGACATCCTTAAGAAAATCCGGCAAAAATCTGTAGATATAAGGCCCGAGAAAGGAAATTGTTCTTTGGGCATTGTCTTTTTGGTTTTAATAGTTGCAACCCTCAGTTTCGACTTTTGTTGGGTATTATGTGGGTGATCAATCATATTTAGTTTGTGCCTATATTTGAATTGATATATTAACAATTTGTATAGGGTATATAATTGATTAATGTCCATTAACTTACTTTCTTCATATGTTTTGTTACTTGAATAAAGGCGATTTTTTATTGATCATTATTCTTAAGAAAACCTTTTGAATTTTTTCTAACTTTTCAATATGTATTTTATAAGCTCCATCCCACCCAACTATCCCATATTAAATTAAGGATTGAACGAATGCACAATACATAATTCTAAGTTGTGAAAAGCAAAGAATTTTTTTTAGTTGTTTAATTTTAAAAAGTATAACGCGTAGTTTATTTATTAGGTTGTTGATATGTACGTCCCATTTAAAATATCTATCCATTACAATTCACAAATATTTTATATTATCTGTACCCTTTATATGTAGTTATTTTTGAGTTATTTGCTTGTGTTACGTTAATTTCTGTGTTTGGAGTTTTTGCCTTACTACCCAATTCTTTATTTTTGCTAAATCCTTTTCTGCTTGTAGTTTCGTTTCCTTCCATGTTTTTCCAGTGTATATAACTGTTTATCAACAAACGATGCGATCAGCCCAAATGTATTTATGTTTAACAAGCCATTTATACAGGGTGAGGCACGAAAAACTTTCTACCCAGGTTTTCTCAGGTGTTAGGTGTTTAATCAAAAATCTCTTGGACACGTCGATTTTTGTTTTTTGGGAGACACATTTTATTGGTATTTTCACCTCCTACCTAGCAGGGGTGACAGGTACCCACAAAATTTTAAATGGAAAGGCGGGTCGAGTGATACGTTATTTGATGGCTATTTTTATTAAGATTATATCCCCAAAGTTTTAAGTTGCTACTATTTATCCTGCCGAAATGGCGGCTTGTCAAAGTTAGTAAAAATGCTTTTTTTTTCTGAGTATCTGAACTGTGTGGTTTTTATCACATAATAACAAAAGAACATCTTTTTAAAGGGTATCTATCCATAGTAATGAAATAACATTGGTATTTAATTCAAATATTGTGATTTAACAGTTCAGTTAAAAATAGCTCATGTTTATTAACTTAAAAAATCTACTGTTTCGTTATTATGAGGTATAAAAACCACGCAACTTTGACAAGCCTGCATTTTGACAGGGTAAATAGTAGCAACTTGAAACTTTGGGGATATAATCTTAATAAATATTGCTATAAAATGACGTATCACTCGACCCCCCTTTCAATTTGAGAGAATTGTGTGAAAGGCGAGTTTTTGATTTTCAATATTGTCCGACTAAGGATATGATAGCTGATATTTTAAGTATACAAGTATATTATTTCAACACCCCCTCTCAACCATACTTATTTTTCAATCAGTCAGACAGGCCACTCTTGGCACTTAAATATTCCAACTCCACTTTATTTAGTGACTTGGTTAAAATATCAGGTATCATATCCTTAGTCGGACAATATAGAAAATCAAAAACTCGCCTTTCACACAACTCTTTCACAAAGTGATATTTTGTATCAATTTGCTTTGTTATGCTTTTCTAGTTGCTTGAGACAACTTTGGTTGTCTTCATACATAACTACTCTCGGTTCCAAATCTACAAACTCCTGTATCATCTGCTTTAACCAAATTGCTTCTTGACAACCTTCAGTCCGCTATTCGATTTTCTGTTCTGTTTGTGCCTCTTACAATTTTTGTACTTTGATTTTTTTTCTCTTGCCAACTTTTAATGCTGTTGCATAATCTTATGTTCCTGTCTATCCTGCACACAAAGATCCTGCGCAATAAATATCTTTGTGTTTTTCAATTTCTTAGCATTTGTTGTTATGGATTGAAATTGAATTGAAAACAAATTCGACCTTGATCGGATAGGACTTACTGTTTTGCTTAGTGTTCTTACTTAGTGCAAACACATTATTGAAGTCGTTTTCCTGAGAAAGTTTTTAAAAAAAGTACCTACTGACTTTTGTGACCAAGTTTTCATTTTCATTTGGTATTTCTAATCCATAAATAATAATATTATTCTTTCTTAATCTTCTTTCAAAAACTAACACCTGATTCTCCAAACTAGCATAACGGTTCTGTAATACTTGTATGTTCTCCTGTTGTTCATTTGAGGAATCGAACAGTTTTTTGTGTTCACTTTTTATATATTCCCTAATTTCAGTACTATTTTTGCTTTCTGACTGGTTTATTGCCTCCAGAAGTTTATTATATTCTTCATTTGTAAAGTTTACCATACTTACAAATATTGATGCAATTGGTCTTGTTCCAAATGTATTCTCAGCACTTTTTGTTGTGAACTTCGAAATTTTGGTTATTGTTTCTTAACCCAGTAGTTTTTACAGTCACTTACAAGATGTTCACAGAATACGAATTTTTACGAGTCCTTTAATGTAAAAATTATAAAACAACGACCAATTTATACCAGCAAAACTTGAAAAAACGCTGCGCGCCAACAAATAAACATCTGCATGGACCACATATACATAAATCACTCCAGTTAATTCAACTGGAATAGAATTAAAATCGTATTTTCAGCTCTCCTAAAGCCAAAAAAATAACAAGAGAGCTCATTTTTGCCTTCTATGAAGCGAAATTCAAAAAGTGTGAAATAGTATATTACATACCGAGGTGGAAAGTGTTTCATTACTTTTCACCGAGGTATGTATACTATTTTATTTACAATCATTCGAATTTTGAAATTTTCATTTGGATTAAAACTAAAAAATACAATAATGAACAATTTCATTTACTTTCGGCCCACGGGTCGAAATTCTAAAAATTCTATCAGTTTGTACAGGGTGATCTATTATAAATGTCACCCCCTGCTAACTTTACCATTTGACGTTTTTGACAGAAGTTTTAAGAAATTGTCAAAAGTCTTTAACTAAGTTAGTTTTAGGCATACAGTGTGCGTCAAAAAAGTGCAGCAGTGTGAAGTTATATTTTTTAAAATGGAACACCCTGTATATTCTGTGTTTATTTGTTAGTCCCCTTTAACCTGATTTCAACGATATACGGTTTGATATGTTTATCTCTCGGTTTATCTTCAATAATTATAGGAAAAAACGCGAAAATCCCTTGGTAGGTCTCTCATGTTATTTTTTCAAAAATAATAATAATAACTTAGACACCTGAATTTATTATAATATTTCAACTTGTATAGTAATGAATAAAATTTGAACAATAAACTGTTCATAATAAAAATTCTCTAAAGCTTCAATGGTATAATTTTTCTTTTTTCAATATGAAACCTTGAAAGGGGTTTTCATGTTTTTCCCTATAAATATCGAACATAGACATATTAAATCGTATATCGTTGAAATCAGGTTAAAACGGACTAACAAATAAGCGCACAATATGCAGAGTGTTCCATTTAAAAAAATATAACTTCACACTGCTACACTTTTTTGACACACCCTGTATGTCTAAAACTGACTTAGTTGAAAACTTTCGACAATTTATTGAACTTTTGTATTTGACACTTTTGTCAAAAATGTCAAATGAAAAAGTTAAAAGGGGGTGACATTTATAATAGATCACCCGCTAATTCTCAAAAATTCTAAAAACTCAGAAAAATTTCCAAAAATCCCTACTAATTGCGCCATGCGCAGGCTCTTGAGCATGCACAATAGGTGAAAATTCTAAATTATTTCTAAAAAATTCTAATTCAATTCTAAACAATACTAAGTGAAAAATTCTAAATAATTCTAGAAAATGCTAAAAAATACTAAAAAATGCTAAAAAATACTTATAATTCTAAAAAATTCTAAGAAATTCTAAAAAATTCTTATCAGTTTGTACACCAAAATTCTAAGGTGGTTTCCCCTTCGTTATTGCCAACTATTTCCATGTATTAACAAAATATTTCCACATATTGCCAGGTATTTCCCTAGTATTATCACATATTACCAGGTATTGCCATGCTATTGACAGACTAAAATCAAATATTTGTTACGCCAGAATTCTAGGTATTGACATATATCCTCAGGTATTTACATGTTTTTAATGGGTATCAACCAATGACATTAATCAGAGAAGTTAAAAAAAGTCTGATTATTTTAGAGCTACAAATGGATCTAGGGGGCTCATTTTTATCTTCTATGAAGCGAAATTTAATTGAATGAGTATGAAAATTTCATTTCCAGTTTTCAAATTAGAAGGTTTTGACCATTCTAGGGTAAAAGCTAAATTTAATTCATCTGGAATACAATTAAAATCTCATTCTCCTTAAGCCAAAAATATACCAAAAATCTGATTATTTTAGAGCTACAGGTTGATCTAGAGAGCTCCTTTTTATCTTTCATGGAGCAAAATTCAATTGAAAAGTGTGTACTTAAAACTTCCTCATTTCCAGCGTTTGAATTTGGAAGTTTTTACACCAAATAATAAAATTTTGCTTTTATTTTCCAGATTCACAAAGTTACTTTACGAACATTACCGTTATGCCTGGAACATTTCTAGTAATTGTCCCAAAATGGAAATCAAAGAACCTGCAGATGATGCCTATTTGCGTAATTATATTTAGAAGAAAACAAATTCCTTGATTAATTTTGAATTTTTTTTTTGCAGCAATTCTTATGGCTTTCGTGGTGCTGTTTTCGTTCGGCACCCTCTGGTACATGGTGAAGTGCATCTACAAGAACAGCGGCAGGTTGAGGCAACTTTTGGCTTGGAGCACTGAACTGGAAGAGGTAAGAATGTTTTTGTTGAAAAACCAAAAATGTCCTGAAACATTTAGAAAAATCAGACTCAGTAGGAATTTATAAGCAACAACTTTTGTGGTTTATGATTAAAATTTCAAAAGTTTCCAGTTAAAAACAGCAACAAGGGAAGTTCATGAAAATCAACTAAATTATGCAAAAATGCACCCTCTTACATTTAATATTTTACTAGAAAACTAACAAAGGAGAAATTGTGAAACTTTTGGGACAAAAAGAGCTCATCATATTAAAATTTCAATAGTTTCTAGCTTGGTTTTCCAGTTAAAAACTAAATTAATTCTGTGCCAGACTAATGAGTCATTAAAATTATTAATCATGTGTTTTGGTTTTTACAACGAGTTTTACAATAACAATGATTAATGTATTATGAAAATGAGATAAGAAAAATACTTTTCTAGTTTGTCATTTTGAATGTTCCTTCTTATTTATATTAAAACACAATACATTGTACTTATAACAACAAATTGCTATACAAATAATTAAGTTGACCTTGGTTAAACTAGAATAAAGGGAAACTTGAAACCCTAAAACTGCAAAACAATAGAGATTGTGTAGAACAAATATTTTCTTTGAAATAAAATAATTACATACATACATACATAGGTATAGAAGTATTATGATAATCAGCTTTGAAAAATCATATTTTCTTCAATCTTGACTTTTTTCTTATGAAATTTTAGTATGTTAAAGCTAAAACCTTGCTAAAAATGAAAAAAAAAAAAAACGTGACATTTCCACAAGCTCGAAATTATAGGGAAAAATGGATAATGCAAGTAGGTGTCTTATTATATGGTAGAAGTATCATGTTGAACAGCTTTGAAAAATCACAATTTTTTTACTCTTGGCACTTTCTTTATGAAATTTTAGTATTTTAAAGCTAAAGCCTTGCTTCAGATGTAAAAAAATATGTGGCATTTCTACAAGCTCAAAATTTTAAGGGAAAATGAAAAATCCAAGTACCTAGATGTCATTACAGATGGTGGAAATATTGTGTTAATCCAGCTTTGAAAAATCACAATTTTTCTATTATTGTTTATTTCCCTATGAAATTTTAGTATGTTGAAGTTAAGGCCTTGCTTGAATTGTAAAAAAATACGTGCCATTTTCACAAGCTCAAAATTTTAAGGAAAAATGGAAAATGCAAGTAGTCTTATTATATGGTAGAAATATATTAATCAGCTTTGAAAAATCACAATTTTTCTATTATTGGCTCTTTCTTTATAAAATTTTAATATGTTGAAGCTAAACCCTTGCTGAAAATGTAAAAAACTTCCACTAGCTCAAAGTTATAAGGGAAAATGGAAATTGCAAGTAGATGTTTTATTATATGGTAGAAGTAGAAGTCCAGTTATTATTGGCAATAGGTCCAGTTCAAAACCATAAAATCCACATTTTTTCTATAGGATCTAACTGGTTCTGCACCTCTAGTCATCGAAAGACCACCCGCCATCAAAAAACATCCCTACAGAATAAAATCGGTGGACGTCTTTCGCGGTCTATGCATCATGCTTATGATTTTCGTTAATTACGGTGGAGGACAGTACTGGTTTTTCCAGCACTCTGCTTGGAACGGTATCACACTGGCCGATCTAGTTTTTCCATGGTAAGAATAATCAATATAATTATTACTACATACATATTGAAATTATCATCCAGGTTTTTATGGTTAATGGGTCTCTCTATGACAGTCTCGATGCAAAAAAAGCTCCATCGTGCAGTACCTAGACGTACCATCGTCTTCCAAGTCATTAGGCGCAGTTTAGTACTACTATTCTTGGGCATCGTAGTCAATTCCAGCAAACACATTTTGACTGTGGCTGAATTGAGATTACCTGGCGTACTACAACGAATCGGCATCACTTATTTCGTTGTGGGAATGTTGGAGGTTGCATTCACTAAAAGAATCGAATTTGAGGTCAGTTTGTTGTAAAATTGCCTGGCGTTTGAAATGAATTATTCCTTTTACAGAGTTTGTCTTGTGTAAGCGATGTAATCCAAGCCTGGCCCCAATGGTTGTTTGTCTCGATGCTGGTAGCAATCCACACTTGCGTTACATTTTTGGTTTATGTGCCAGGGTGTGGCAAAGGCTACACGGGTCCAGGAGGTTTGGACGACATGAAACAGCACTTTAATTGTACCGGAGGCGTTGCCGGATACATCGACCGGGAAGTTTTTGGGCATCACATGCTTAAAACTGCCGCCTGCAATAAGGTTTACGAAAATGTTGTTTATTTTGATCCAGAGGGAATTTTGGGGACTTTAACAGCTGTGTTGACTGTTTATTTGGGAGTACAAGCAGGCAGGACTTTGAATACTTATCAGAATGTTAGGGACAAGATGATTAGATGGGTTTTGTGGGGTATTAGTGCGGTAAGTAATTGTACACGTTTTATAAGAAATTATTTATTATTATTATTATTATTAGATTCTTATTGGTGGTATTCTGTGCGAATTCAAAAGAGATGACGGCCCCATACCAATAAACAAACAACTTTGGTCTTTGTCCTACACCCTAGTTACTGCCGGAATGGCTTTTTTGATCCAGGCCTTCCTCTTTTTGATGGTCGATATTTTGCGCAAGTGGGGCGGAAGGCCGTTTTTCTATCCGGGAATGAACGCCGTATTTTTGTATGTGGGACACGAAATTTTCAAAAACACCTTCCCCTTTGGATGGATTCCCACAGTTGAAACGCACAACGCTTATTTGTTTATGAATTTGTGGGGTACCTTTTTGTGGGTGGCAATAGCTGTTTACTTGTATAAACACGACACGTTTTTTACTATTTAGGAAATATTTGTAGGTTGAAACATGTCTCGAAGATTTCACATTATTGATAAATTGATTTTTGGCATGTTCTAGGGCTGTGAAATCTTGTGACACTATTCTAGAATTAATTAGTATGTTATGTGTAATAATATTTTAGTTTTTATTCATATTATATTTGGTACTGACTGATTGTTTATTTTGGAAATTTTTAGTTGATTTAGGTGTTTACTTAATACTAAACTGTGTTTCATAATGGCAAATAAATATTATTAGTAACAAAATTGGTAAGTGGATGTGTCTCCCTAATTTCCCAGGTATTGACAATAATATCTAATTACATAATTGTAATCAATTTAAGTAAAAAACTAAATACAAAAAATATTTATTCAAATCCCAATAAACAATTCAATACAAATATCATCGGCGATTTGAGACAATTATTTTCGAGCTCATTAAATTTTTTTTGGCTGTGTAAACAATTATGCTTAATTAATTAACAATTAAATGCTTTCACTACATGTCCTCCTTCCTAATGATTGCCTCGTCTGAACAGCCCCTGTCAACAAACAAATAACTCATTTTTATTTTTGCAAACTTAAAATTTGTTGACGGTGACCATGCAAATCTATTTCCGCATAATTTTCCTGACTACAAACCAACCGCCAACAATTAAAGCAATAGCAGCCGCAATACTAACCCCTAAAATTAAGGGCGCTTGATTTTTAAATATTGTCTTGATGAGGCTGAAAGTACCAGGGACGGTTTTCTTGTAAGAGTCTCGTTCTTGTACTCGATTGAAGTACTTTTCAATGTTGGGACGTTTCCCGTCAGTCCAAAAAAACGGTTCCATGCCTATTTGGTTGATACGGAGCAGAAGAATAGTCAAGGAAATGTCTGGAATTGTGAATTTGTCACTGCACAGCCACCAATTTTGTTTGCCTGAAAATGAGGGCAAATTATGTAGTTGTTTTTGATTTTGAATGAAAATTGCAACCGTTTGTGTGCTGGCTTAATTCTGCTTCAACTTCATCTAAAACTTTTTCAGCCTGTTGGCAAATCTTTAAAAACTCGTCTTTGTTTAGCAACTTTTCACGTTTCTTTTCTTGGTTTTCTGCCTTTTCGAGCAGCATTTCTTTGGCGTCAGGGTTCTCTTGCGCATACTTTCTCAAATTATCAGCACTATTTTTGTCAGCATCTTATTGAAACAATCATTAAGTATATTAATTTTCTGATTATTGGATTTTGTTATAATTGTACTTACTTACTAGTTGTTTTCGTACAGGGGCTATAAAAGGCACTTTTTTAGACCCAGTTGCCAGTTCTGGATGAATCATTGAACCTATAGTAAGCACGTTACCGTTAATTGTATCAATCAAATCCCTAAAATGATTGATTTTTTGACGCACTTCTGGGCCTTGATCAATCGGAATCAAGCGTGGGGTATCACCTTAAAACAACAACTTGTACATTAGAAGCTTCACAATAAATCTTGATATAAATTACCATTACTGAAATTGTCTTCCAAATAATCAATTATTCTGGATGAATCGGGAATTATTTTGCCAGTGTCTTGCAGTACAGGAACTTCGCCTTTGGGATTTATTTGCAAGAACCAGGGTTTGTATTGTTCGCCTGTTAGTTCAATGTCGCGAGTCTCGAAGGGCAGGTTTTTTTCGTACAAGGCCATTACAACCTGGAATTTATTCAAAATTGTAGCTCGTCTTTCAAAAGTGTTGAAATTTTATGTTTGAATGATCATTTGAGATTCCCCAAAAGTTGAACTTTAGGGTCAATTTCTGTCTCTCCTAGAGTTAAAATTTAAAATGAAAAATCCTATTTGCCCCTACTAGAGTTACAATTGAACTAGAACTGTGAAGGACTCTAATTTATAGCCAATTTATAATTAAATTGAGTGTCAGAGGTTTAAAATTGTCATTATTTGACCTGCAGAGCCAAAACTCAATCTTGGAAGCTTCAAAGACTTACAGTTTTAACAGATTTTTAAGTATTTTTAGAGCCCTGTTGAAGCTCCAAAGTGTTCTAAATTGGTTCAAAAGAGCTCTTAGAAGGGACTCATTGGAAGAAGACATTCGAAAATTTTCTTGTTGCCAACAAGCTTATTGTTACCAACAAGCCTAAAACTGAAGATCTCAGAGAAACTATACATCTTCTGGTAAATCATATTGCTCCTAATGTGTATGCATTGGTGAGTGAATGTTCAACATGTGCTTCCGCTATAGCCATACTAGAGAAAGCTTACATCAAACCTAAAAATGAGGTCTATGCTAAACATATATTAGCGACCTGTCAACAACAAGCTTCCGAATCTATAGACCAATATCCTCAATCCTGAAACCTAGGTAGCTACTGAATGTAATTTTCAAGCTGTTACTACAGAAGATCATAAGAATGCCTACATCAGGGATGCTTTTATAAAATGCCAAAACAACTCCTCTATACGCACTCGATTACTTGAAAATACAACCCTTAGTCTCAATGAGGCTCATATACAAGCTCAATCTTTAGAAATGGCTGAAATTCACCCACAAAGCTTTGTACAAAATTCTATCAATGCAACTTCAATTGAATATACTTCAAATTCTAAGTCAGATCATTCGGAACAAATCTTAGCTACTTCTACCAAGAATCTAGCGAAATGTTGGTTTTGCGGAGGATCACGTCATCCTAGATATCTTTGTCCAGCTTTAGATGTTGCTTGTCAAAAATGTTCTAAGAAAGGACATTTCGCCAGAGTTTATAACAGTAAAAAGCGTGACTCTAGGACAACGTCAGCTTCCATCGTTACTGCAGCTTCGACACCAGGACTTGAAAAAGCTACAATTGATGCAAAAATTTGTGGACAACCAGTTAAAGCTCTTATTGACACAGGAAATACATCAAGTTTCATAAACGTCTCTCTTCTTGACCAACTTAAGATTCCACAAATTCCTGCTCAGCAACGAGTGAATAAGGCGTCAATATCATTGCTCTCCCAAGTTGAAGGAAGTTGTACTGTGTCACTAGAAACAAATACCCATCCATATGAAAACTTAACATTACTGGTTATGAAAAATCTTTGCTCAGATATTATATTGAGACATGATTTTCTACATCATTATTCTTAAACTTGAGATGTCATTCAATGGAAATCTGGGCTGGAACTCTGTAACGAATAGAGATATTTTCTCTATCTCTATTGACTATTGACGGCTCTTCTCTATTGATTTCGACGATAACGATCCTTATCCGTTACAGAGTTCCAGCCTTGGATACTTTGAAAGTATGTATTTTGATGCAAGCAGATATTACTCTTGCATCTCTATTCACAAATCTCTATGCCCAGACTATGAACTAGACGCATATCCACTTCCAAACATAGAAGGCATTATTTCAAAAGTGTCAAGGTACCAAGTTTTCAGCACTATAGATCTAAAGAGTGCATATCACCAAATTCCAATTCTCGAACATGGAAAACCTTATACAGCGTTTGAGGCGTGCGGCGAACTATATCAATTCACGAGAATTCCTTTTGGTGTTACCAATTCAGTTGCTAGTTTTCAAAGAGTTGTTGACAGTATAATAAAGAAAGAAAATCTTTAAGGCACATTTGCCTATCTTGATGATATCACAGTAGGTGGTAAGACTCAACAAGAGCATGACAAAAATCTTCAAAGTCGCTGAAAAGTATAAAGCATATACTTACTATAAACTCTACCAAATCAAAGTATGGACTTAAAAAAATAAATCTCCTAGGATATGAAATTGAAAATCAACAACTCGTACTATTCTGTGGGAAATTTTTGTAGACATCCCTAAGACGTCATTAAAATGTCTATAAAAGACATCTGCCAACGTTTTCCAGACGTCTTTAGGACTAAGACATTCTTAAGACATCTTTGAAACAATGTATTCTAGACGTTTTTTTTTTGGTCTTCAGACGTTCAGACATAATGCAGACCAAAAAAAGACGTCTTTAGGACTTTGTGTGCTGTCTGGGAACAGAACTAGTAGGCAAAAATGATTTTTGCCTTTACAGGTGCTTGTAATTGTATTAATACTAGTAGGCTAGTAAATCATGTAGGTAGTCATATTATGACATTATTTTTCATTCAAGAAAAATGTAACTAAAGATTTTTCCATCAGCATACAGAGTCACATGACATTATATGTGACAAACAAAAATAATTTCCAATGCATTTATTAGATAACCTCTGCTACTAAAATCAATACAAATATTATTGTAATGTTTACCTACATGGCAAATATATCAAGATAATAAAAACTGGTTATTTTTAGATTAATTACCATACTTAATTAAGGCGAATGACCGGACATAAAAAGCGTTTCATCAATACCAAAAACTATAGTTTTTTTAAAGACAATTAAATACCTTTTGCGAATAAAACGAAAACTGATTGTAGTACAACAACAAGCCATTTTTCCCACCATTGTTGTCCGCCATGGTTTGTTCGAGAGGGGTGATTTCTGAATCTTTTTCACTGCCACCTACACAATCCGCCTGCTGTTTGACGGCGAACGAAAACGAAAGGTCGGGTTTACGCAGCAGGAGAATCAAGGGCAAAGATCGCTTTATGTGTTCGAGTGCCTGGAAAATAGAACGATACCGCATTCTAGTCGAGTTTTTTTTTGTTATTTTGGAACAATACTATTTTGTTTTATGGTTGGAATTGGCAAATTTTCAACATTTTTCAATAACAGCAGCAGGAAATATTTGCAGGAGTTTGCGCTGTTGATTTCAAGGACTAATAAGAATTTGTTTTAATTTTGGTTTTATTTGTATAAAAGCCTTAATTATTATGTTATTAAAACATATAAAAAGGGCTTCATGTTAATGTTAATTTGGCGGGCCTTTTATTATTTTTTAAAAATTTAAAATATTCTAAAATGAACATATTCCGAGTTTATTGGCTTCTTTTTTCATCCGCATTCAAAGAAAAAAGATGGTAAATGATTTATTCGCTCTGGTTCATTTATTAATTGGTGACGCCATCTATAAAGTTTTGTACAAACTCGAATGCATTCACCATGAAGTCAGAAAAAACGTGAGTTACATTTTTGGCCCTGAAAAATTGCAAAATCCATCGATTGATTTTTTACAAATTCCAATGCATATTTATATATTCTTAATCAGAACTAATTAGGAATTAATTTGTTTTTGTTTTTATCTTAAATAGTCTTAAAGATGTTGAGCCTCAAAGTTAAAACTATATCTCAAAGTTCGGAAAAGAAATCCTAGGACTCGGTGCCCCAATGAACCTTTTTGGAACCCTAATTGAAACCCACAATTGGACGAAATATGGCTCTTTGAAATATTTCAAAATCAAATTTCCATGCATAGTAAAGTCCGTCGATTTTAATCTGATACTCCAAAGGAATGTGAGCTGGTGGCTTCCTACATTAGAACGCCAATGCTCACCTGACGTCACACCTGTTTTTGCCGTAAGCTTCACCCGGCCTCGCTCCTCATACGGAAAGTGTCAGATTAAAATCCACGGACAATAAGTACCTACCTACACCCCTTTGAAAAAGTTTAAAATTTTTAAATTTTTGTTTTTTCAAATTTTTGACTTCCCCAATAGAAAGGGGGCTGAACGGGCTCCGTCAAGTTAGCCCCCCCACATTCGAATTTTCTGAAAAAATTGCAACCACTTACTGTGCTCGAAGTGTGCTTTACTGTGCCGATGATATTTTGAACTGTGCCGTTTCGATAACAAAGTTATAAGAAAAAATAGATGAGGGGCTAAGTTGACGCTCAGCCCCCCCCCAAAATTTTGGAAATCAGATGAACTCAAAAAGGATTCTTATCCAATTTGAAGTGTGCTGAACTGTGCTGTATCAGGTTTTTCTCAAAATTTCCAGATTCGGTCATTTTCCAACAAAATCCTACTGGGGGGCTAACTTGACGCTCAGCCCCCCCAAAATTTTGGAAAGCAGATTAAACAAAATTGAATTCTTATCCATTCTGAAGTGTGCTGAACTGTGCTGTATCAGAATTTTTTCAAAATTTCCATATTCGGTCATTTTCCGACAAAATCCTACTGGGGGGGCTAACTTGACGCTCAGTCCCCCCAAAATTTTGGAAAGCAGATTAAACAAAATTGAATTCTTATCCATTCTGAAGTGTGCTGAACTGTGCTGTATCAGGCTTTTCTCAAAATTTCCATATTCGGTCATTTTCCGACAAAATCCTACTGGGGGGCTATCTTGCTCAGCCCCCCCAAAATTTTGGAAATTAGATTAAACAAAATTGAATTCTTATCCAATCTGAAGTGTGCTGAACTGTGCTGTATCAGAATTTTTTCAAAATTTCCATATTCGGTCATTTTCCGACAAAATCCTACTGGGGGTGCTAACTTGATGTTCAGTCCCCCCGAAATTTTGGAAATCAGATTAAACAAAATTGAATTCTTATCTAATTTGAAGTGTGCTAAACTGTGCTGTATCAGGTTTTTCTCAAAATTTCCATATTCGATTATTTCCCGACAAAAAACTAAGAGGGGGCTAAGTTGATACCAAATTTTAGGGGCCACAACACGTCGGGGATTGTAAGCGTTTCGTAAAAACCAAACTAAAGAAAAACTGCTTCAGATATCGAGATGACCCTATTAAATTTATATAAACGAGGGATTAAACAACCAGCCTACAAAAGCGTTTTCTTGATATAATAAATATATCTAATGACCCGCTGCGTTGCCAGCGTGAAAATACATTTTGAAATAATACAGTTTTTTTCAAATTTTGTTGTTGATTTTCTATTCAATTTTTTTAAAATCCGATACCAGAGTCGCTTGCCAGTGAGTTCAGTGATGCATTTTAAGCACGCGCCCCGGGCTGTTTATAGGCGTTCCAGTGTATCAGAGTTTCGCGCAACCGAACTTTTTTTTTCGGGATAAAAAATAGCCTATATCACTCTCCTCTATAGTCGAATTCGATTGACCGGATTAGATTGATCTGGTTCAATTTAAGTGAACCGTACTGTGTTGGATTGAGGCTGGATCAGTGCACCCTCATCAACAAAAAAAAAAGTTCACTTAAATTGAACCCAAATCGATCTAATCTGGGTCAATCGAATTCAGCTTACATAAAGATACGTGGTATTAAATTTAAGATCGGTCCAGCCGTTCTCGAAATCAAAAAATAATAAAGTTACGTCGGTTGAATGGCAAGCCTAAATAAATCAAATATGGCAACGTTGTTTGATGCGGTCAAAAAAAAGTTGGGTTATATATGTTGTTATGTTATGTGAATGAGTTTGTTTACAATTGAATTAACAATTAATTCAAAATTAATTTCTTTTTCCGAGATGCGTAACCTATCCACAAACCTTCCTTGGGATGGCCATAACAACCTACCAAAGTTTCATCGTAATCGGATAAGTGATGTAGGAGCACATAGCCGGATACCCAGCAAACATTGATTTCGCTGAAAGGTTTTTCGGTAACTGTCGGCTATCGTATTGTCACCGTTCCGTTTTTCTGGTTGGTTATTATTTTTTTGTTTATTTTTATATGTTATATTATAATTTTCTGTATTATTTCTCATTTCTGACAACTTTTGTGCCTGTGAGTTTGAAAAAGCAAAGTATAATGGAAGTCGAAAAGAGAATACGAAGAATGTAATGCCCAAGGTTCCTGAATATTAATTGCTTGTAATAGGTTGTTTGGTAAGGGCAAACAGATGACGTCATCGGGTGGTTCCTATGGAGATTTGCATTGTGCTTAGGCATACAGTCATAAAAGTTATCAGGCAACCTATCTCTTTCAAGCAACCTTGTGGGATGCCTAAATCACAAAGTTCCAAAGTCACTGCATGTCTTCAATTGAATCACTGTCAACCGAAGATCTACAGACCAGTTATCCAGGGTTGGAAACGGAACACTCTCCAAAATGGATAGGTGATTTATGGCCGTTTGCACCGACCATTTTAAGGAAACATTAGCGATAAGTATTCCTTAAAATGACATTTCTACATGGATAAATGTCACTTTAAGGAATACTTATCGCTAAAGCCTACTACTCATAACTGCGAAATTCGCATTTTTTTGACATTGCTTCGACAATTTGACGTTTGATTCACGCATATAACGTCAAATTGTCGAAGCAATGTCAAAAAAGTGCGAATTTCGGAGTTATGAGTACTAGGCTTAAGGCTTCCTCAAAATGGTCGGTGCAAACGGCCATTATACATTAGTCTGCGCTCAAGTCCCATCTGCTACCAGTGCAGCCGGAGCTCGGTTCGGATTAGTAGCTCCTTTCACTTTTTCAACACTTTTAGCTCTTAAGTAGGGATGCCACCTTTGAAAGTAAGTTGAACCGGAGAAAAAAAAACATTATTGAAAGAAAGCTGAAAAAGAAAATCTGCAGATCTATAATGCAATAGATGCATTACACTTCACTATCTGTCTATATGTATATACACAAGTCCCCCCCCCCCCCCCACCCCAGCATCGCCGGATGTTGCCCGAGGAAACTTTGCTTGAGGTTGGGAGTTGAGACGGTTAGAGAAGAAGATTCAAGAATATTACACACTAAACAGGATAGCCTATCCTCATAAGACCTGTGTAGATCAAATCTCAAGCCCCCACCACGTCAAAGATCCAAAGAACGAGTGATGACGTAGCAGCGTGTCGTTTCCCGCCTTGAAGTAGGGTGTTTGCACCACTATGATTCCGCAGGCTTTTGGCTTATGCATACTTGGTTTTAGTACATTAATCAGCAATCTAAAACAACTCCTTTCTAGATCTCCTTTATATCTTCCTCTTTACCTATTATGTTAATTAAAATTAAATATTATTTCTCTTCATAAATGTATATTCTAAACTACGACCGCTGACGCAAACAGTTAACGACACCGTTGATGACGTCAGTAACGGTGCAACATCATGGTCTTGATTCCAAAAATCGAGTCCGATGCGAAGACTTGTGTTTAATATCTTTGAGGGAGATTATGCAGCATTGAGTTCGTGGGCTGTCTATCACCAACGTGCGTGTCGGAGTCGGATTTCTCAATTTCTCCGAGAGAAACGGTATTTGCACAAACAGGATTGCGCTGTTGCTAAATCCTATTTTTTTTCTTAAATGCGTTTTTTTTTTTTTGTTAAATGCGGTTTTACACGGAGAAAATACCCAGTAATCCGGAGCCTAGAGACCAAATGTAAAAACCCGTAGACTCCGGGTGAAACCCGGAGAGGTGGCAACCCTACTTAAGTCGTTCGGGTATTCGGGTACAACCAGTTAGAGCAAATGTTGACTCCGTATCGTTCGGGTGTGTTAGAGCAGCTTTTAAAGAGTTAACCTTACAAACACTGCCTTGAGAATGGTGCAGGCATGCGCAGTGCGATAAAAAACTGATCTGATAGTTCTTTTATCGTTATCTTTGAAAAACGAGTAAATCGTAAATCACTAGGAAAATTATTATAATTTCGTAAAATCTGGTAGAATTTAATTAACAGGAATGTATGTTAATTTTCAGAGCTGAGTGCCAAGTTAGCTAGTAGGATTTTTTCGGAAAATAACCGAATAAAAGCTTAGTACTCATAACTGCGTTAATTCGCATTTTTTTGACATTGCTTCGACAATTTGACGTTTGATACACGCATAAAACGTCAAATTGTCAACGCAATGTCAAAAACATGCGAATTTTGCAGTTATGAGTACTAGGCTTAAGTATGTAAATTTTGAGAAAACCTGATACAGCAGAGTTAGTACACTTCAGATTGGAAAAGAAT